GACGGGGCCTTGGATATGGCGAGACCGTGAATCAGCTTGGTTGCCTGCGTATGCTCTGGCCTGGTTGGTGTGAAGTGCAGCTGCCTGTCGTTGTGCTGCTTCTGCCTGGATCCGGCTGATGTCTACTTGCGATCCGAAACCAGTAGTCGAGAGACACATCTGTACTGTGGCTTTGCTCATTCGCTCGAAGGCGTCTCGACATGCCTCTGCAGGCGGACATTTGTGCATGAGATCCCCAAGAACGGAGGTAGCAGCAAGGACGGTGAAGTCGACCTCGTCGAGTGTCTGTAAACTATTAGAGACTGGGGACAAGAGAATGGTAGAAAGAAAGTAATGGTGAAGTACGTACCAAGCGACTGCGAACCAGAGCTGAATGCCAAATCGCATAGAGAAAAGAGATACCTGAAATGTATTAGCGCACGCTTGTTAAACGTCAGTTCGATCCAACTTACCCGCCATGAAAATATGGTGTGTAGCCAGATAAGTATAATTGACCAACCGCACACGATGCATCTGGCGATAGATCCGAATCACCTTCTGCCCAGCCTCGGCGACTTTGTAGTAGATTTCATCCTCGGCCTCCACTTCATCCACATTGGAAAACGACGGACTGGACACGTCTTCAGCAGGCATCATTTCATCTGCCAATTCTGCTGGCACCGTCAAACTCTGTTGATATAGCATGATAACAGCCTGCCAATAATTCAGCTCAAGGAACTCGACGGAGAACTGCACGCCTGTGTCACGGCGGGTTGGCGCACTTTGCTGCCATTCTGCCAAGCGCCTGTGAACGTCTTTGCGCCAGGAATGAAAAGAGTCGAAGCCTTGCAGGAACGGAGATACAATGTCTGCACGAATGGGTCTTCTGGCGGGATATGGCGACCTTTGTCTGAGGAAACGGGCTTGTTGATGCTGAAGCACGTCTTGAATTTCTGATTGCAGGACTCGGAGTTTAAAATAGTGGTGCGCTGCATGCTTATAACTCGGTGCACCCTCGGGCGGTGCCACGATGCCAGACTTAGTGATATATTTATCTTCGAACGCGGATGGGAACTCGGTGCTGATGGCTTGATCGCTGATACCGAATGGGCGACCGACACAGCAACTGACCAAACGATCGAGACTATATACACACCACCAAAGACGGCGACGAAGATCACGCACCCATTGGCGCCGTCCTAGTTCGCGAGTATCAACATGCTTCTTAGGTTTATCGGTGCTCTTGCTTTGGGTACGATTGATGCTCTCGTCCCCGGGTGTATCGATCTCTGTGCCATCCTCGTAATGCAAGCCGAGATCAACTGCCAGTCGCATTGCGACGCCAACGATATACCATAACCCAGGTGCTACAGGTCGCAAAAGAGCGAAACTAGCGAGAAGTAGCACAGCTTGCAATTCCTCTAAGGCACCTGATCCGTCTCCAGAGGCAGTATTCCCAAGGAAGGACTCCAGGTGAATGATTGCAGATGCATGGTACTCTTCCGGTTGATGTTGGTGGCTCGACAGTCGTGGTCTCTTAGAAATCGGGGATGAAGACTGGTCTCGACCTTCACATTTGCCGTCACCTGATGGCTTATCTTCGAAGATGATACCCGCACCTATAGCAAACACGATGTTGAGTGAGTAAAGGCTTCGCGGGGAGCGGTTCTTCTCGTCAACTGCATATGTCCGATCGAGCATCTCCATGAAGTCAGTCCGATGAAGAATGGGTATCTGAGCGTTTGCATGTTCGAAGTAAAGGTTGACGAGCCTTTCAGCCAGGTCCCGGTCCGGAAATGCCGCACATTTCATGGTCGGCCGTGTCTGTAAGCCGAAGAAAGAATCACGCATCGTACTACCAGCAGTCCCCGTGGCACTGTGCGGCAGGCGCTCATTGGGACGCATTGGCCCGCGCTCCGCAACGCTCCCTGACACGGAACTCTTAACAGCAGCGAAGACGACACGAGCGAAGGAGATCCCGGATGTGGAGCCCAGATATCGCGGATCAGAGGTTCCTTGCACCGATACCATTCCTATGTTTGATACCAAGTTCTGAATGCGCCAGTTGTCCTCTTTGTTGGGATCCCGACTTTTGTCCAGCTCTTGTCCGCTCGAGGCATCCATCTCCTGTCTCACGACCGAACCGTCTGTCTCCCCTTTCACTCCTTTCTCGTCTCCATCGGCTGTGAGTCCCTCGGCTGTAGACACTATCAAGGCCTCCGAGCCTGTGGTCGGTGCCTGAGGAGCATCAAGCCCCGCCTCCACTTTCACGGCCTCCTCTTCATCGAACGCAACAGGTTCCTTGTACTCGACTTTATTGTCCATTAACAGCTTTTCTAGATATGCCACGCGAGCCTCGAGAAAGTAGACGTAGCTACGGGGTATTTCGCGTTTCGTGATTGGGTCATAGCCGACGCATCGGACGCCGGCTTTTTCGCAGGACTGACATCGGGGGAGTCGCTGGTCACACCGATTCTTTCGCAGACGACATCGGTTACAGGCGGAGACGTTGCGGAATGAAGAGGAATTGGAGGCCTGAGACGAGGATATCGAATTTGCGGGGGCGAGCGCTTCACGGGCGGGCTGCTGCTGAGACTGCGCCGGCGACTCTGCAGGCATGGAGGACGTATCAGTTGACGAATGCGGTCTTTTCTTCCCTGAGGAGGCCGGTGAGGGAGGAGATGCGGGGTTCAGCATGGCGGAAGAGGCACGACAAAGGGAAGCGCAAACGTGCGAGCATGTCTCGGGAATGGGTTTCTGGAGATGTTGTTCAAGCGAGATGGGTATAAATAAGAGTGCGAAAGTGCTGGAAACAGCCGAGCATTCATGGTAGGATCAAGCGCTGGCTCCTATCGTATCCGATCGATAGAGTAGTGTACTGTATCGACGCGAATAAGACGCACGTGGTTCTGAGGCCGCCAGTAGCGTATCGTGACGGCGACTTATGCGGTCGGTCAATATTCGGAAGGCAAGGCACAGTTGCAGCCCATGACGCAGGCGGTCTACTTGCACGAGGGCTCTAAAGTCTGGATAGGGATTATTGTCGCGCGAGAGAGACGTAGATCAGGGGGAACTGTGGACACACGCACGGAGACGAACAGAGGGGGGAAGAAAAAAAAAGCAAGCAAGCACACCGAGGTTGAAGATAGCAAAAATTGGTGGAGACGCTGGAGGAGGATAAGTCTGGGTCCCGGGAGTGTATGGACCGGGAGAAGAATCATGTCAGCACTCACCCACCCTTTCACAGGCACTGGTTCGTGCTAATCTAACTTGGTTAAGTGAGTTGCGGGCGAGGATTCCGCTGACAAAGGTACAGTAACTAATTAAGTTGTTAACATACATAAGTACGTATCTATTCGCAGCTGCCATGGTCAATTGAGAGGGTGGAGGTTTGATCTCAGTGCTTATGTACCTCTTTCAGGTTGTAGTAGCCATTGGACTTAACCTTGAAGCGAGACAAAAATATGTCTTGAGGAAGGGCTTGTAAGGAAGCAAGTTGGTGAAGAGATGCCGAGGTCTCAATAAGGTACAGTACTGTACAGTACCTGTCGGGCCACGTGATCTCTGCCATTTCAATCGCCGGGCGGAGATTGATTGGTTACTGATAAGGCAGGTCCAGGTCCGATTAGTACGGTATAGATCTCATGCCTCTCGTATAAGCTTATGTTGTAACCTGGAAAGGACCATGGGGTGGGTTTGGGGGGGGGGGGGGGCAGATAAAAATAACGAATATATCTTTTCCAGTCTGCTGATTGGTAAGTGAGCGCTGAACAAAACAAAGAAGTTGGTGAGTTCTTGTTTTGCTCTGGTATATTGATCCCTGAAGGGATAAAACAGCAACTGGTCGAAACAGTACCCTCTTTTCTTGAAAGCACAATAATGCGTACTACTAGTAAGTATCTATACAACATTGATATTTGGCTCCAATCATGGCTCGAGTATTGATTTTTTATGCGAATGTAACAAGCACTATGGAGATCCGGGATGAGAGAGAGCCAGGTCAGTCAGTGATAGTTCGGAATAGCTTCAGCATACCTCACTTGGGAAGCTATGAACGGCCCGAAACGGACGGTCGATTCCACCACCCGCATCACCAAAGAGGCCCAATTTGCCCCGCGCCTGACCAGCTCAGCGAGAGGCTCGAGAGAGGGGCATTCATAGAGTTGTTCCCCTACAGGCGGGGCCGGCTGATCCCCCTCTCTGCAAGCCCCGCACTACCATATGACGTGAACGCACGGCAACAGCGTGGTCGATTCACCAAGCAACCTAACTGACTACTGCATCAACGTGCGTGAGGCTTGGCCGACTTTGCCGCTGAAGGAGAGGGGTTGACCGGGTCGCATTGGACAGACTACCAGAGCCTCGAGAAATGAAACCCCGGTTAAATTGAGGAAGGGAGGGGTAAGGCGAAAAACCACTATGGCAAGCGCGGTAGCGCTCACCGTCTCGAATACAACAAATTCGAGACGTAATCGTACTAAGTAAAGCAAACTTAACTGTCTTTCATTTGCCTCTAAACATTTGGATTGTGTTGTGGAGATGTTTCTCATTTCCACTTCAATCTCCTAGCGACGGATTTCTCTTATCGGACTCTCGAAGAGTTGGGATATAGTAAGCGCAATAACGAAAGAAAAATGTGAAATGACAAACACAAACAGCCTCTCCAATGCATGAAGTCATAGATGCCCAACGATGCCCATGCTAATAATGCCAACAGAAAACAATCCAACGGTAGAGATTTGAAACAGACTCGCCAGCCCTCATGCTTTTGTCGCATATGCATCCGGTCTATAAACTGCGCCATCGCCCATCTTGAGTCAGGGTCTAAAAAAAAGCACAAAACGTAAGAATAACAACAACAAAAAAAAAGGGTAAGACAAGCCACTAGACACAATATCCACAAGATGAAATAGAGGAAGTTAGAAAATGACGTATGAGTTTAAGAACTCAAGGGGAAGGACAAAGGGGGGGTAGAGAGTGATCAGAGACCCGAGGTGATAGGACAGGATACGTAGGAGGCTTCAAACCTCGACTTCGGACTTGAAAGACTCAGGCGCGCGTAGTTGCGCTGAGTCAACATGAGGGGGAACGTCCAGCTCATCGATGCTTGTCCGCGCGGAAGAGAGCAATCTCCGCACCTCTTCGGGTGTGCCGTCCTCCTTCCCGACAATGAACGAACCCCGCAACACGTTTTGATCCTCGGACATGTCATCGGGTTGGATTTTCTTTTCCATCTCCTTTTCTCGCTCCGACTCTTCCATCCAGAAACTCTCGAAGGCACCAATGATGCAGACAAGACCGCAAGCCCACCATGCCAGCACAGAGTATCCACTCTCAAGACCTTTTGAGTGTAACAAGCCGGTAATAGTCGGGCCAAAGGCGCGGCTCAAACTGGCAGTAGAGGCTGCGGCGCCGTTGATGGAACCAAGCACCTTAGAAGATGGAGCAGCATTGGCCAGCAGAATTGCCGTAGCGGGGAATGCGATGACATGTAGAGTGATCTTGCTGATCAGAGCCAGATAGGCCGCAGCAAGCTGGAGCTTCTCCGGCAGAAGGATGAGATAGGGGACCATGAAATACAGGGGGGGCCAAACCAGCAACACGAAGCGGAAAACCCTGAGTGTGCCAAAACGACGAACAACGAAAGGAAACAACCAAAGCTGCGCAATCATCGAGTATACACCTTGGACTGCAAGCATAAACCCGATCTTCTTGGTTGCCAGTCCCAGACCTCCGGTGAACTTTAGAGGAAGCGAAGCGGCGTCAGTGGACTTAGGAGTGCTGAGGAAGACCGGCATGAGTTGGTCGAACGAAACACTATGGCTGGGGACGATGTCAGTACCGGAACATTGTGGAGAAATAGATACTCTGGTTAGACTCACTATGCGAGAATACCATAGGCGATGATGTTGAAGATCACTTGTTTTGTGAAAGCCTTGGGCTTCTGCCCTTTCATCTGCCCCTCAATGTCGTCATCCGTAGAGAGATCATCTGATTCTTTCATCGGACCCAGACGAGGAGAAGACTCAGCACTTCTGTATTCGGGGGGTGGAACATCGTCGTAGACGAAGTAATCATCGCCGGTGGTGTCCGCCTTGACGTCCAATTCCTCGGCAAGATTGTCGCGGGATCCCTTGAACTTGTTGACCAGCCAATTGCCTAACTCCAAGCCCGGGTCGCGGCGGTTCCTCTTCTCGGGATGCGTCTCCTCCAAAAACAACAAGCCGACAATGATACCAGACGAGAGAACGACAACACAGACCAAGTTGGGCAGCAGAAATGGGAAACTGTCGAAAATGGTTCCACGCTGGAACAGCCAAGGGTAATTGTCGCAGGGTTGTGCCAACGCACCACCCATGGCGGGTCCGATGATCGAACCTAAGCACCAGACGAAAGGCATGATAGAATAGGCCCGGGGTTGGTGCTCTTTGACTGTGACTATCTCCGCAACGGTCGTTTGGAGGACTCCGACGTCCATGTTTATCTCGTGAACAGTGACATCGGCTGTTTGACAGACAGCGGGACTCTACAGAGTAAACTTGTACTGTGCTATCTGCATGCCGTCACCTCATTCTGCATCCCCGACCCCTTGACCAAGCACACGGGGACCGAACAGTCTCTGTCTATCCTTCGTTCGGCATCAATGCGGTCTTTCAGCAACCTACAGCCGGAAAATATCTCGATTCTCGAAAAGCTTGCGAGTCTTACACCAGACAGAAGATACTACCCTGCCAACGAGCGTGTCATGCAGAGCGTTCGATGGGATCCGGTCCTAGGCTGTTTGGCTCAACATAATGAGTTCCTCATCCAGGTGGCGGCTATACTTGATCAACACCGCCGGATGAGGATATTCAACCCGGCTTCACAGGGGACAGAGCCGGCGCTACCTTCACGGAATGCAGACCTCCTGCAGCGAGATCGCATTCGCTCCTCGACCTTCCGGATCTCGGGTTTCGGTGCTGAGGACCACACGGACGCGAAGGACTGTCTGTACGAAGAACTGGGCCGGGACTACCAGTCAGAAAGCTGTTCACGGGTGTTCAGTCTCTGCAAGATTCTCTACGAAGATATTCCATCTGCCCAGGACGTCATGCTTGAATCCTTGGCTGCACGTCTTTGGGGGTTTCTCACGACTGCCGACACAGTTCACGGAGCCAGTTCTTCGGTTGACTCTACACGGATCAAGTACGATGCGATGTGGCTCGCGGAGACCGGCGAGTTTGTTTCCAGTCATTGGTGCAGTATCCATCGGCTCCTCTGCTCGGAGACGGCCCGGCCAAACAGATACGCAGTAATGCTCTGGTTGTCGACGTTGGCCTTCTCCGGGAAGATCGACATCATCGTCTTGCACGTTCTTGCTGCGGTGTACGTTGTGCCCGGCATGGCCTCTATGACGTTGCCAGCGCAGAGACTATACAGGCTACAAGAAGGGTACGGGCTGGACTGCGCCGAACTGAAGACTCGGATCCACTCTGTAAGCCGGAGCGTAACCCCCGAAGACGCCCTCTCTCCCGGACCAGCGGAATCATATAGCACGTTTCATGCGCGCGTGGCGAAGTTGAGAAAGACAAAGCGGAAACAGGCACTAGCTCATTTCATAGCCGGCCTCCAGGGACAGTGGCCGACCCGATGCCCCTCACCTCCCATATCTGGTGAACAGCCGGCATTCGCGGATTATTTCGATGCTCAGAAGGCGATGCAAATCTCACAGGCCGCATTTTCAACTTGGTTCGATAACCGAGAGCTGACGCAGTATCTTGATAGGGTTGCATCCGTCTACACAAGCCAGGAGGTCCAACCCATCGCGATCCCGCCATGTCTGTACCCGTGCTTGAATCGCCCCGCGGACCGACGCCATGCTTTCATCTCCGTGGATGACATAGTGGACGAGTCTCTTGGTCCACCACCGGTGGTGGAAATGGAACCACCCACTCTGACGCCTTGGTCAGGCAGTCGCACTGCTCCTGACCCAAACCTCCGTCTTTTGGGCTTAGTCGATGCCCTGGAATCACAGGCGCGATCTCAGTTCCAGAAGCAATACATCGAGAGACTGCGGGCCAGTGTGACATCTCTGCAGGGTCTCCAGGATATGGATCATCCCTTGCCTGATGACGCCATTCTTGAGACCGTCATATGCCATCATTTGCATCGCTGCCAAGAGTACCATGAGGAAATCAGTCACTCCATCATGTCGAGGATGATGCTTGCAGATACGATGACAGGAGAGGTACGTCCAGGTTCGCACACGCAGCGCAATATCCTGGGAACATTTGCACATGTCAAGGTCTGGCCGAGGGTATCATCACAGCTCCTTCTCCAGCAGCTGACACGCAGACGTTGGAGCCACCTGCCCGAGCCCTGGAAGCGATGCTTGATCGCGTATGGATGTTCCATCACGGCACTCCAGCGGGCGAAGAGGCTCGTCAACTTGATGGGTCATCGCGTGGATCTAGCCCGCGAACTCCAGAACGCAGGTCACACAAACTGGAACCCGATGGATTTCCCCGAGTCATTGTTGCTGGAGATCGAGAGTGGATTGTTGATTCGGGACGTCCAAGAACAAATTGCGCGACGCATGAGAAATGCGCAGCCCGGACATAATGCCGTTATGCAACTGAATATGGGCGAGGGCAAGTCTTCCGTCATCGTCCCCATCGTGGCAGCCGCGCTCGCAGACCGTTGCCTAGTTCGCATCATTGTCGCCAAGCCACAGTCGCGGCAGATGTTTCAGATGCTCGTTTACAAGCTAGGGGGCCTTTTAGGTCGGCGGGTTTATCATCTCCCCGTGTCACGCTCGTTGCAGATTGGTGTATCTGAGGCGGAGGAGATCGAATGGATGTGCAAAGACTGCATGGCGGAGGGCGGAGTTCTCCTTGTTCAGCCTGAGCACCTCTTATCCCTGAAGCTAATGTGCCTAGAATGCTTCATCACGGGGAGAGAGGCGGTTGGCGTATGTCTTCTTAGGATCCTGGACTTCTTCCGGACCTCCTCGCGAGACCTGGTAGATGAAAGCGACGAAAACTTCAGTGTGAAGTTCGAGCTGATCTACACAATGGGGACCCAGCGTCCTCTGGAGCTCAGTCCACAGCGGTGGAATTTGATTCAAGAGATGCTCGGCCTGGTGAGGAAATATGCTCCGGTCATCAAAACACAGCTCCCGCGGTCAATTGAGGTGGAGGAGCCACATCCAGGGGGCTTCCCCAGAATAAGGTTGCTCCGAGCAGATGCCGCGCACCAGCTGTTTGAACGCATCGCGGACCATATCTCCCACTACGGCATTGACAACCTGCCCATTTCCAGGCAGCCAGAAGCAGAACGAGGCGCAGCGATTGCTTATTGCCTTGAGTCTGACCAGTCAGAACAGAAGATTGCGCTAGTCGAAAATCCAGATGCGTCTGGCCTGTGGGCCGACAGCACGAAGGATCCTCTCCTACTACTTCGAGGTCTGCTAGCTGGTAACGTCTTGGGATTCTGCCTGGGACAAAGACGGTGGAGAGTCAACTACGGACTTGATCGTTCCCGACAACCCCCGACGAGGCTGGCGGTTCCGTTTCGTGCCAAGGATAACCCTGCACCACGGGCGGAATTCAGTCACCCTGATGTTGTCATTGTGCTCACGTGCCTGAGTTATTACTATCAAGGACTCGGCGACGACGATCTATTTCAGGCATTCGACCATTTGGTCGGATCGGACCAGGCTGACGTGGAGTATCAGATATGGGTCGATGATGCCCCGAATCTTCCCTCCGCCTATTGTCAATTGATGGGCGTTAATCTCCAGGATCGGCTCCTTTGCGTGGAATGCATTTTCCCATGTCTTCGCTTTGCGAAAGGCGTCATCGATTACTTCCTTGCTCATGTTATTTTCGCCAAAGGTCTGCGGGAGTTTCCGAGTAAACTATCTTCATCCGGATGGGATATCGGTGAGGTCAAGTGCCATCCCACCGTCGGCTTCAGCGGGACCAACGATTCCCGGGTCACCCTTCCCCTCAGTGTGGAGCAGCTGGATCTTCCCGATCAGAATCACACCAATGCGTTAGTTCTCGAATATCTCCTTCGACCAGAGACCGGCCTTGCCCTAATCCCGGCGCGAGATGACCTGTCCCAGTCAGATGCGCAGGTCCTTCTGGATATGGTGGCGGGACTGGACCCAGCCGTACGGGTGATCCTGGACGTTGGAGCTCGGATATTGGAGCTGAGTAACTTGGAGGTTGCCAAGACCTGGTTGGAGATGATCGGTGATGATAGCAGAACGCAGGCCGTGGTCTTTATCAACGATGACGATGAGATTACCGTGGTGAACCGGACTGGACTCGTCGAACCGCTGCGGACGTCACCTTTCGAAAGGCACCTCGACCAATGCCTTGTATTCCTTGACGAAGCACACACGAGGGGGATTGATCTGATGCTACCCCTGGAAACCCGGGCGGCGGTGACGCTGGGACCGAGTATCACCAAAGACAAGCTGGTTCAAGGTCAGGGAGTCCCAAGAGAATGGCCAAGTGTACCTTTCACTAACAGCTACCACAGCATGTATGAGGATGAGAAAATTAGGGCAAGGCCAATCGGTGGTGTTTTGCATTCCGGAAGAGATCAAGTTCAAAATTCTGACTCTCTGTGGGAGGTCCCACGAATCTGATCTTACTGTAGCAGACGTGCTCCGCTGGGCAATCTCGGAGAGCTGGGACGATATGCAACGCAGCATGCCTTTGTGGGCCGTGCAGGGAAAGCGATATCAGACCCAGGCCCGTCATTGGCGGGCGTTGCGACAGGACGGGCAAACCTCGATATCCAGATGTCAGGCAGAAGGGTTTCTAGAACCGGAATCCCAGTCGCTAGAACAGCGATACCGTCCTGGTCGTCGGAATGATCTAGCTCTTTTCCCCCAGCGCACCGACGATGCGGACTTGTGTCGCATACTGGACCGATGCCGTGAGTTCGCCACGGTGAAGTTCTCTGCAGCGCAGCTCCAGGAAGAGCAAGAGCGAGAGCTAGCACCAGAGATCGAGCAGGAACGACAAGTTCAACGTCCGGCCCCTGCCGAGCCGGAATCGCATTCCGTGCATCCCGACATACGCTCGTTCGTGGCCACTGGACATCTGGATGCATCATCCACCGCAGTGAAACCAGCTTTTCGGATGCTAGCAAATACATCAGCGGCCAAATTCCTGGATGTGGCCCAATTTCCATCGGAGCTCCTTGTCACCAAGGATTTTGCTAGAACAGTCCGACTGCCCGAGAAAGTGTCTGTCCGAGATAGTTACCAGCGTGCGGTTGAATGGGTCCTGCTGAGCAACGACCATCACTCCAAGGACGGAACGCCCGTAAGGCAGATAGTGATCATCAGCCCGTATGAAGCGAACAAGCTTCATTCCGACATTCTGGGGTCGGGCACAGTAAGGATGCATCTCTATGCACCTCGTCAAAACCAGAGCTCATACCCCATCGATAAATTCGATCTATATCCGATTCCAGCGGTCTTAAGCACAAGGCCCCTGGGAGTCCCTGAGAGCCTACGCATCCAACTGAACCTCTTTGCGGGGCAGCTCTATATTTCGTCGTACCGTGAGTATTGTGAAATATGCCGCTTCCTGGGGGTGGCATCCACTGCCGCACCAGAGGGCTTGGCTGTCGCCGCGGATGGGTTCATCGTGGAGCATCAGGAGGCAGGAGCCAAGTTCAGCAAAAGCCCCCTCCGGTTCCTCAGGGTGTTCATGTCCCAGATACGGAAGGACGGGCTGGAGATTGACAAAACCCACCTGGGCAAGATCCTCGACGGGAAACTTTTGCTCATGGCTGACTTCCAAGATGGCAAAGGCAGAGCGCGGACCATGCAGCTGAGTCTTCGAAATATTCCGCTGTGATGTCTCGAGCGAACAGCATGCTAGGGCGGCAGGAAGTGGACTTTGATCGTTCTCAGTGACTGGTGCTTGGCTTCAGGCTGGGCCTGATCAGCTTCCTTTCAATGCAACAATATAGCTCCAGATTCCTCTTTCCGTGGAGGCAACAGAGCACCGATACAGGAGATCTTCACCTGGGTCAGCAATTGCTATGACCTGCGTTCGTACCGCACGTTCGGACTGCTCTTTGATCGGCAACTCCTGGTGGTGAATGAACCGTTTGTGGAAGTTTCAGCTCGCGACCCCGGCTTTCTGTGGCACGTCCTTTAGTGTGATCCTCGGGTCTCGATCACTGGCAAAGTGATAGAGTTCGTAAAGGAAAAGGAATCTCTTTAATGTTACTTGGTGCGAAGCGCGATACTGGCATATTTGAGTTGCTATTTTACTGCGACAAACCCCCACCCTTGACTATCAGAACCAAGACACAAAGGTACGCCACGGGCAGCAGTCCTCCCAATCCTTCTTTTAATCAATCTCATTCTGCACCTTCCATTCGCACATCCTCATCGTGCACGGCAACCCCAACGTTGCAATTTCCCAAACTAGACTGCACTTGAAATCGTATCTCCCGAGCTAGAGACCACCTTGTTCGACAGCAGCGCGAGCTATGCAGGTATCTCACCATTTCCGCCACGCCACTAAGCCCCAAGCACGCTTTTCTGAATCCTGGCCCTAGACGGAGCACGTTTGAGGGATGTACGTCATCATCCAGAAGAAGCACCTCGAGACAGCCACCAAAAGTATCAAGTAGACGCTGCCACGCAACAGCACGCACGATCAACTCGTCCATTTCGGGGATTCGGTCAAGAATCTGCGGTTCTTCCTCTGTATGACCATCCCGCCCGCTTAGTCTGGCAGTCAGCTGTTGCGATGCCACCACCCGGGCGGCCGCGGCATCCAGCCCAAGTGATATCCCTGCTCCGGCCAATCCCCGATGCAAGGCCAGCAACTCAAGCAACTCAGTGCGAAGGATGTCAAGGTGCTGAAGACTTTTTCGGCCACTGCACGGGGCGGAATATTACTTGTATCCGGTGAGGACGTCGTCGAGGCGGATATGATCCCGAAGCTGCTCCAATCGGCCTGGATGAGGTTTGGGAAAAGGGCAGCAACGCCGCCATCATACCCCGAACTGTGCGGGTGTCTGACAGACATGTATGGCGAGTATGGATAAAGGGTATATGCCTGGCAACAGACGCAGTTGCAAGCCGGCGGTTCCGAGAGCTGATATGCTGGGCACTGGCAAAACACCAGTATATACTCGAGAGAAGAGAAGCTTGCAAGTAGCTATTATGGACATGACATACTATGCTGTTGTGGAGTCGACATTGTATACATCCCTGGCTGCGACGATTGATGGAGCTAGAATCATTCATTGCTGTCATTTCAAGACCGGTTTGACAGTGTAGATTGTGTCGGTGACGGTGTAGAAAGTCTGCTCCCACGTTCTGAAAAGCTCTCCCTCGGGCCCTCTTTATATGGAGAGTAGATCCACGATAGCTTGTACATTTTCCGTGTCTTCATCACTCAAGCCCCTTCCACCATTGCACATTATTCCTACCTCACTCTTTTCCAACATCCATTCACCCTTTCCGCTTTCCATGCAATCTCACACGCCTTCACGCGATCTCTCGCCGTTCTGCGCAGAAGTTTCTATTCCGAAATAGGTCAAAGCCCCGTCCACGAAAAAAGAAAAAAAAAAAAAAAAAAAAAAAAACAAAAAACGAATGATATGCGTCCCAAGTGACAAGGATCACCATCCTCCAGACGCCGTCTGAATGTCCTTCTGAAACCCAGGTTGCAGGGATCCCGATCCCGATCCATCGATCCCGTCTGGACAGACAGGGAGGTCCCAGGAGGAGTTTCCAACATTCACGGCGTGATTCTTCCATCAGTGTCAAGCACCCGCACCGGGGGCACCAGGGACCGCTCCCGCCTTCCCGTTCTTCGCTCTACAGTACCTTTGGCCGGAGAGAATTCCTTATGTCATGGCCACAGGCCCAATAGAGCTACTAGTGTTATTCGGGCCTGGAGGATTGCCTGGGCATATATGGAGTGGTACTATACATACATTCGACTTTCCTGATCAATTGGGAGGGTGGTGCTCGGGTTAGGGGCCAAGTATCTTTGAAGGAAGCTGTATCGTTTCGCCCAAGATTCTCTACCTGCTGATGAGTCATGCACGATTTGTGTAAGTCTATGCAAGACAGATGCTAGATCGGGGATAGGCCGATCCCCTTTGTAAGCTCAGACGGCGCATCATATACAACAGTATGGTTCGGAGATTCTCACGGAACTGCGCAAATGAACACAGAGTGCTAGAGCAATATATCCATGCTCGAAGAGTGGACATCCAATGCCACTATGTACAGTACAGTCCACCAAGCACATACAGGCCCAACAGGACCATGTTCCACATCGCTCTAGGGGGCATTCAAACCAACCCCTCCCCCGAGATCAACCCCAAGTCCAACTCATCCAGCCAACTCAAGAACCCCTCGGAGGCGACCCCCACCCCGAGCGCCTCGGACGGAAGCTGGAAACCCTCGACAAACCCCGGCGGTAGGAACTCGCCCGATTCCCGAACCATCGCAGCGACCACATCGCCAGCCGTGGTGCCTGCTCCCCCCGCCTCCCCCTGCTGATGATTCAGCGCATCGTCCAACAACCGACTCACCACCTTGGTCAGCTCCCTGGCGGCGACGGCGGTGGTCGAGGGCGGCAGCTGCGTGGCCTGCACCCAGGCGAGGAGCACGCTGAGCGAGCGGATGATCTCGGCGCGCGGGGTGGCCGCCGGGAAGGCGCGGTTGGCGAGGGTATGGCTGTGCAGTTCGGTGACGAGGATGCCGGCGGCGGGGATGCCGTAGCTCAGGTACTGTTGTCTCTCTTCGTTAGTGTCATCTTGAGGGTAGAAGGGGAGTTGGCTTGGAGTGGGTAACGTACGATGCAGGCGAACTGGCGCTGGATCTCGTGGGAGTGGAACATGCGCGTCAGGTCCATGACCATCGACAGCACCTGCAGGGCGGTGTTCATCAAATCGGCGGTGGCGTTGGCGCTGTTGGTCTTGCAGCGGATGCGCTGCAGGTGCAGGACGCTGAATTGGTAGTCGAACTGCACGAGGATCCGCGCCAGGGATTCCATCAGCTCGCTCTCGGGGGTGTGCCAGCAGTGCGGGGTGTAATGGAAGCGAGTGGGGATTTGTGTGAGGACTTCTTGGCAATGGTGGTATGTTTTTCTTAGTTTGGTCAGTATTGGGAGTACATCAAGGAGAAGGAGGAGACTTGGAAGTGGAACGGGCTACGGGACATACTGCACACGATCGCCGTAGTCGGCAGCGGATTTGTTGCCCAAGGAAAGTTCCAGGACCTGTTCGCGGAGCGTGGACAGGAAGTGGCGGATGCGCATGACCGTCGCGGGCATGAAGCTGCTCTCGCGGTGCCAGCCTTGGTCGTCCAGACCGGCAAGTACGGCGCTGAGGGACGGCCCGTCGAGGAAGAGATCCTCGTCCGCGATGTCTAGCGGTGGGGCTGCATCGCAATATTGGTGCGGAAGACGCGGAGGACGCCCCATCAGCGTGGCCAGGTTCTTGTCCGTGCGATGGGTGACGGCCAACATGCGCTTCCTCGTCTCCGCCAGGAAAAAAGGCACGTCGCGCGAGGGCTGGTGGTGGAGGCCGATGGTGTAGATGTTGGAGATCAGGTCGCCGAAGAGGCTGTAGAGTCGTTCACCTATTCGTTCGTGAGTGTGATGCTGAGTCTACACAACAGCCAAGCCAGGCACTTACTAGTGTCGCCCAGCACCTCCATCGCCAGATGAGCATGCATGTATCGCGCCCACAGGATCAGATCATTGACGTGCCCGAACTGTTTACTGATCTCGATGCACGCGTTCCCTGCCAGGACCATCTCCTTCATGAACGTCTCCACGGTCATCGTCTCCCCGTGCGCCAGCTCCACGACATGGTGACCAGGGTACCGGACCATGGCGCTGATTCCGGAAGAGGCGAATACCAGGGCGATTAACTCCCACCGGAGGTTCGGGCCGGTGAATCGCGCGTAGAAGTCGCCGGGCGACATGTCCCTCGAAACTTCGAGGGGCCGTCCGGTCGCGGCGGTGATGGTCTCGTAGAGCTCCTTCCACTTGCCCGTGACGTCCCACGGGTTGCGGTCGGTGTACGCCTGCACTCGGTCCAGCGAATCCAAAATAATCGGAGCGGGCACCACGGTGAACCGGCTGACGCGATGGTACCACTCGATCTGGTCGCGGTGGAAGACCATGGCGGAGGCCAGGCGTATCAGCCGCGACGACGCGTAGGCATGCTGGGTGCGCCAGTACTCGAACTCGGCGTAGAGGGACCGGTTCGCTTTGCCGGAGATCCCGCGCGGAGTCTCTTTGAACACGGAAAGATAGCTTGTCGAGCCCAGGAACTCGGAGTCTTGCCCGTGTTTGGTCTCGGGGTCTGTCCGCGGTTGGTCTGGCGCTGCAAGCTCCGGCGTCGGACTTCGGTCGGGAACCTCCAACAAAGATCGGTGGATTGCTCCTCGTTTTGGTGTCGCACGAGGGCGCGCAATGCCCCCATCCTTGACCCGCGTCAAGGGGGCGGGGTGGTAATAGCACTGCAGTTGTCATTGTCAGCTGTGAGACAGAAATGAGTCATCTGGACTGTACCTACCTGATTGGCATTGCCACGCGATTGGCACCGTCGGCAGATGGGAGTCGCATGGTCACAGCGGACCTTAGAGAGCCGACATGGCTCGCACGAGGTCGGCTTTCCGTTGCGACGAAGCATAAGACGTGGTGATGGTTAGGGTGATGGTCAGGAATAAAAGGCAGGAATGGTGGAGAAAACTAGCTTATCGCTTATCGCGTATCGCTTATCGCCGGCAGCGCGGCTCGGAGTCCGGCATAGACGGTTGATTCCGATGCCGATGTAGACACAGTGAATGTGCAGTCGTTTCTAATGATGT